TGGAGATGCATGAAATCTCATAAATTGCGTCCAATGACAAATGACGGCAAACAGAACTGAAATCCGTTTGTAATGCTGCAGCAGGTGGGGTGGGAGACGGGAGGTGCATCTAACGTTGCCTGGTCACAATTTGTGGCCAATAATTGAATATCGAAGCGCAAATTGAGTTTGGTCGCAATGACAACGAACCAACAACGGGCACGAGAGCAAAAGGCTCACATGCTCACGTACTGCAATTGGTAAAACAAAACTCAAGTGGCTCAACAGCGCAATGCAACATGCTCGACTACCAGATGCGCTAACTATTTGCAATTGTTTGATAAGCGATTGACATAATTTCAGATAAGTTTACACCTTTCCCACCTCTGACAAGAGATATGGAACAGCAGGCAGCTAGACTTGATCTGCACTGAAGGAATCCTGTAACGAGCTGTAGATTTTACATGCTAAAAATGTCTTTCGATTTGAAGTGGCTTGCCACAGCGTCAGCTGGCAGTCTACAGAGTATTATCACGGGGGCAAGCACTTACCTAACAGTTGAACAATGCGTGCCCATGAATACGTACTCATGGTTATTGTGCCCATGCATATGGATTGCATGTATGTAAATATCGAAACAGGAATATGCCATAGATAAGGGTAAGCGCCAAGTTCCATTAGCTGTGTATACCAACCACCCGCCGCCCCACAGCTGACATCTAAACGGAATGCACCTGTCCAGGACCTTCTCTTTTTTTCTTGCATTATTATTTGCATCCTGCTGGTCGAGTCTGACCTCAGGGCTCAGTGGGCTATCTGGTTTCTGGGCACAAAGTGCACTCTAATAAAGCCCTGCTTTTTTATTTCGCATTGCGTGCGGCTTTTATTGCAAAATTCTTTGCCTGGCTAGTTTTTCATAAAATGCAGAAGCTGAGAATTAATTAAAAATGTATCCGAAACCAAACAAGTGAAGCACAAATTGCAGCGAATATTGCAAAACTTTAAGAAAAATAATTAAATTTTCATTTGCTTGGAATGTGACCCACATATATTTATCGCCTAAGGCTGCAATCGGAGGCATTTTTCTACTCTTAATTAAGCCCAGGTTCAGGTGAAGCTGCAGTCAAAGCAAATTCAATTTGAGTTTCGTTTTGGTTTCCTGCAAAAGCAAATGTCGCTTCATTAAATTAGTTATTGATTGATTTGTTTCCTTTGCCTTCTGAATAACTCTATTCGAATCACATTCGAGATTAAGCAAGTCATAACTCAACTCACAACTTCACTACCTATAACACCCATCCATCCACCCACCCATCCATCCATCCACTCAAAATAGTCTACGACATGTTGCCACACGCTCCTGCCACATAAATGTGGCTTTAGGCGTCATTGCGAACGAGACCAAAGTTTGCCACATGACTCAATTGGTTGCGCCACAATAAGCACGATTCAATGTCCATTGTAACAATTACAAGCTGAATATACAGAGTATAGAGTATAGAGTATAGAGTATAGAGTATAGAGTATAGAGTATAGAGTATAGAGTATAGAGTATATATATCGAGAATAAATCGCTTCCTCAACTGCCAGTTGGCCGGAATCGATTAAAGACAAACGCCGTTTGACGCCTTTAGCACCCATTAGCCTTCAATTTCAAATAGCTTAAGCTCATTCCCCCTCTCTTTTTTAAGTATATTTCTTAAGTTTACTTAAAACTCGGTTAGCTTGTGCAGCAGAGACTCCGAATCTGAGAGGTAGTTGGCGTAGAAGGCGGAGTTCGTGTTGGTGTTGGTGTTGGAAGCGTAGTCCATAGCAGAGGCACGCAGCATGTCTTTAGCAGTTGCATAAAAGAGGTGTGGAAACGCTTCATGTGCGCTTTATGGCAATGTTGTCAACAACAACCACAGCTGTAACAACGACAACAACAACAATGAGAGACAACAATAAAGTCGGACCAAAGCTAAATAAAATAAAAATATATATGTGTATAGAGAAATTGTTGCTTCAGCTGGTTGTCAAGCATGTTGTTGTTGTTGTTGTTGTTGTTGAATATGTCCTTGCTGTGCTTGCTGTCCTTGTTGGCAGCGTTGCTGTTGTAGGTGTTGTTGTTGCCACTGGCTGAAGTCAACATATTGTGGCATTTTAAGCGGAAAATATGCCTCACTTCCGGTGTGCTTTACAGCATTTTTTATTGTTGTGCTGTACCCTGTGCGGAGCTAGAAAAGGGGTAAATTAGTCTAGCGCAAGCAGAGGCTGCTGTAATTCTGATTTGCCAGCGCATGCCAGAGTCGGGCATACCCGCTGGCCGGGTCTGCTGTGCTTGTTGTCATTGCTCTTCTTGTTGTCGTCCTTGCGGCAAGAACTGGGCGTGGTAAGCACAATGCACGCACACGCACACACACACACACACACACACACACACACACACACACATGTATAGATATATATATCGCTGTTGACTTGTTTACCGTTACAAGAGCGGCGCCAAGATGGCTGGCAAAGTAACTGCTAAGCAGGAAGTCGCTGGTAATTGCGTGTGTGTGTGCGTATGTGCGTATGTGTGTGTGGGCGTGTGGGTAGCTTTTAATAGCTGTTATAATATTTATACACATATGCAAGCACATACACACTGTAATGCCTGCATGCCACACACAAATGTCTTTCAAATACATTTGCTTAGGCATATTACGTATACGCCGTGTGCATTTTGGTTAAGTACCTTAGTGTACTTGACTCGAGTCAGGCTTAAATGCCATTCAAGTATAGCTGGAGCAAGTCTTCAGTTGGCAGAGTGATGTGTGCAGAGGAAACTCTTTCAATTTCCTTAAAGTTGGGCGCTTCGGGTTTTTCTATTTTGGCAAGTGCAATCTGGCCTTCGGGTCCACAAATTAATGGGCTAAGTCAGTGACAATCTAATTAAAGCATACAAAAGGTCGGCCACAGCAAAGTTGCTGCAATAGTCGATGCTTTATTTGCGAGAGTTGCGGCTGCCCACGAACTGCCTAAAACTAGTTGAGTTCTATTTACAACAAGGTTCAGTCTTTAATTGCACTTTCCACTCTATTGGTGGGGATGGGTTTTGCTTTGAGGCTGGTGGAGTGCGGGGCCGCAGGGATTTGCGTTAAGTTTGCAGTAAAGCTGCTGCGCTGGCTGCCTTGGCTATTATTGGAAGCCATGCGCAGGACAAGGACAAGGACACGCCACAAATAGTAGCAGCAGCAGCAGCCGCACGAGCAACAATGGTTGGTGTAAGTGAAATGGAATCCTTTGGCAAACAATGGCCCATTATTAACATTTACCGCAATCGGAACAACACGACACGACACAAAACACGAGCCAAACATGCACTGCGGAAAACTTTCAAGACCAACCGCAAAAGTTCCGCCCGGCAGTTGACTAAAAAGAAAACAACTAAGAGTGCCTCAGTCGGGCATGACCAACTACCCAATACCTCACATTTCAATTCATTCTAGACGCTTGGTCTTCCCAGCACAAGGCTCTACTATTTTTATTATATTTACTTGGCAAGTCAGCCAAAAATGAGCCTGACAATATCTGTTAATTCATTAGCTTCAGGGTTCGTCGAGTTATCCAAGCTAAAATATCGATTTTATCGATACTCAGAAAATCTTAACAAAAATCTAGAAGCTTATGCTTAGAATAGATATAGCTGCAAGCATTATATACCCTTTTTAAATGCACAATGGACTTGTAGGGTATGCAAACAAAGAGCGAAAGCAGTGAAGTAGGAAGGCAAAAAGAAGTCCCAAGTCCAAGTCCAAGTCCAAGTCCAAAGTCTGCACCAAATAAAAGTTTTCGTGTGAAATTGGAATTGGAATTAAAAGCACAATAAAGGCGGATGGCAAAGGAATAAAAGAGTGTGGGAGGCAGAGACATAGAGAGAGAGAGCGAGAGAGCGAGAGAAAGGGAGCCAAATAACTTAAGGCTAAATGATTTGTGGGTGCTTAACCAAAGCCCATTTGCAAATAGATAACATTAAGAAAGGAAAAAACAAGAAGCATATATGGAAAGTCTACGAATATGCCTAGCAAATAAGATTAACAGTTCCCCAAAAGTGACAGCAATTAAAAACCAAAAGGGCGATAGTAAGGGGATTACTTGAAGGAGCAACCGGGGGCATACTTAGTGGAGAGAACTTTACGCTGCTGCGGCTTACGGAAGCGTTTTCCTTAACAGACGCCGCAGAAGTAGTTGCACGCGAGCTGCAAGAGGTTTGTGTTTGCAGTTACTTTAATGATTTGCAGTGCAGAAAGTTAAGGCTAAAAGGGAAAATGCTTGCAGAACTGGAAAGGCATTTGGCAAACAAGTGAAAAAGCTCTAGTCGACGTGCCCGACCAGGAGCTACCCTGACCCCAGATAGAATTGCGATTTTTAATAATTAAAATAAATAAAATTAAAATAAAAAAAAAATAATAATAATCGACATTAGAACTCCAAGATACGAGCCAACATCGCCTACACAAGGCGCATCAACTCTATCAAATAAATAAATAATTATTAAAGATCATTAAATATATATAGTATATATATTAAATATATATATAGTATCAATATATATTCTAGTAAATATAGGCATAAATATTAATATTAATATACTATTATTAAATATATATTTTTTTATTTTTATTTTTTACTGTTATCTTACATTTGTTTTTACTATTTATTTTAGAAATCTTTTCTATTGATAAAGTTCTTTTTATTGCTATTTAAAATATTAAATATATTTATATATATTCTATATAAAGACCTATTGATCATATCAATGGGTTCAGGGTATAATTGGAGAGCAAAAGCTGACATAGGCTAGGCATAGCGATAAGCATAAATGAATCGAGATCAGATCTAATGCACTATACTTAGGTATGTCACTTGCTCTTGCTTGAGGAGCTATCGGAATCTGTTCACTGGACTGGATTAGTTAACACATATAGCAAACAAGCAGAGTACGCATATGGCAAAGCAGTCGAGAGGCGATTAGGAAATTCAATTGAACCGAAAAGCTTCTGTATTCACAATGTGTAATGCTAGTTAGATTTTACAAAATTGTCAAAGTGTCCCCAAAAATTTCAGTGTGTCTTGTGTTTATATATTTAAAAAAAAAAAAAAAAATATATATATATATATATATATATATATATATATATATATATATATATATATATATATATATTTTTTTTTTTTTTTTTTTTTAATTTATATATGTATATGAAGCATATTTATATACATGTTAATGTGAACGTTTGTCTTAAGTAACGAATTATTCGGTTCTCGATATATCAGAATTTATATGCATATATATCTATATATATATATTCAATATATATATATAAATATATATATATATATATATATATATATATATATGTATAATTCGTATATGTTTATATATATATATCAACTATCCTAGTACATTTATGTTAAATTGCATATTTTGATATATACCTAAAAATAATGGTTGCCCATACGGACCCCCAGATATTTCGATTGTCCCAAAACAAGCCAATGCTGATGATGATGCTGATGCAATCGCAAGAGGAGGAAGTGCAGCCCGACGAGGATATGGACTCGAATGTGCCAACAATTACGATGCCGCCAGCCGATCTCGATATAGCAGATCCGCTCTCCCAGGAACAGCCAGAGACAACCATCGAGATCATGGAGATCGCCGATGATTCCGATGTGGACGTCGCTGCCGCAGATGAACTCATTACCATGGACGTGGTCGATGAATGTGAGCTCATTGAGTATCAAGAGGAAGACGACATGATGATGGAAATGGATAACAACCACAGTTGCAGCAGGTGCCAGGACTAAGGCGCCGCCTGGCTCAGGCAACTGACACCCGTTTTTCATCCATTTGGAATGAATTTCTGTGAAACAACGATTTTGTGTATATTTACGAATTAACTATATTAAACTGATCCCGTGCGAAGTTGCTTCCATCGATCAATCGAGCTTGACAGTGGTCCTAGGCTTCGGAGGTGCGCTCTATGTATGAGTTCAGCTAGAAGCCCAGCGAAGGAATTCTTAGCACGATCAGAGCTGAATACCCCAGATACTTTGAGAGGTGCTGTCGGGCTGATTTTTGCATTTGATTTGTTATTACTTAAAACTATTAAGGTTTATTTTCTATGTAGTACTTGTTGACAGCTTGAGCTTAGCCAGATGAATGGACGGACGAATGGATTGGCGTAGTGATATATAGATGGACGAACGGACGGACGGATAGACGAAAAGACCGACGAATGGACAAACGCATGGATGGACGGACGAGCGGATAGATGGCCGGACCGACAGACGGACGTATCTGATGGGCAGACGAACGAACGGATAGACAGACGGATGGATGACTGAAAGAACGGACGAATAGATGGACGGACCAAGGGATAAACAGATGAACTAATGGACGCATGAGTGGGCGTAGTGTTGGATAGACGAAGAGACCGACGGATGGACAGACGAATGGATGGATAAACGAACGAAATAGACGGATGAACCAAGGGATAAACAGATGAACGGACGGGCAGACAGTCGAACGAATAGATAGACGGATAGGTAGTCGGATAGATGGACGGTAGGAAGGATAAACGAACAGATGGGCAAACAACAAGACCTACGTTGCCCACAACTAATAAACTCTTTCGCTTCATTGCCGAATCTAATCACATACCTTTATACGCATCTTGGAGACGTGACAAATTGGGAACTAAAAACTATATCATCCCAGGTGTTGGTGCTAGAATCAATAAGCTCTGCAGTTGAATCACAATGCAGTGTCTCCTTATCTATCCATAGGTTCTAAGCTCTATCTGAATCGAGTCCTGCCCGACCTCAATGTTATTGCTTTCACTGCTACCGTCAATGGAAAATATATATTGCTTAACTATTATCTATTGGCTGGTAGCTGTTTTTGAAGCAGCCGCCCAAAGGCTGCAACAACAAACACACACAAACACAGCCAGACAGACACAGGCAACTGGCAGAGCTTTGAGAAGTTTATGGCTTAAGCATTATGGAAAACTGAATGAGCCTTGGCCATGCTTAGCATTCAAGGTCCTGCAAAATCTATCTGGCTTCTCTCTCTCTCTCTCTCTGTGTCTCTGTCCCTCCAGTAATATGCTTACGAAGTAATCTGCATGCGTGTGTAATGGAATTTACTAAAGTAACACAGACAAAGGAACGTGCAGTAATATGGCAGCTCGAGTGCTCAGAGCTCGCAAATGTTGTTTACTGCATTGAACTGTAAAAAGTCTTAGGCACAGCTCGTCTGCCAGCCACTCACTCGACTAGGCTAAACTGAGAATCAACTAGACCCGGCGCTTGCGGCACTCGCAGTAACCATAATTTCGGTTTGGCTAATGATTTTCATTTATTTCAAGGTATTGGCTGAAATTAAGCAAACATTTTGAATGAATGCAGTTTGGCTCGATAGGAAAACGCTTTGTCTCTAGCATCTGGATTTGAGAAGCCCAAAGGATCGAATCCCAAGCTGCCCGAAGGTCACTAGCCGGTTGCTTTGTTCACACGTGGACAATGGCTCTCAAGGCCTAGCAATCGAGCGTAATTTTGTGTGAAGTGAAGCTCAAAACGTTGTGCTGCCTCGCATAGAGAGACGCTGTCAAATCAACAACGGCTCTGACTTGCGACGGAAATGCTTGTCAGGCTGTATAGGCTCTAGAACAGTTTTCCGTTAATATGTGGCATTTACCTCGTTGCCAGACTATTGAAGAGCGCCATTGGCACTCGCTCAAGCAAACCTTATCACTTTGAGAGTTGTGCAGCTCAAAAGCGAGGCAACCCCTTCACGCTCTCAATGCTAACTCATTGCTACCTCGGCCAAAGGATCAAGGTTGAGCTCATCCTCGAGCTATTTTTATGATTGAAAAATTGCAGTTGCTTCGTTAAAGACAAAGTCTGTGTGTTTGAGCTCACCTGTTGTGAGCTAAATAAAATGCGAACGTCTATGACTTTTGAGTCATATATCAATTTAGGCAAAATGCTTTACTCGATAGTTGCCCAATGTCAGCTGCGACCACTGTCGAAAGATGCTTAAATTACGAACCAGTGGGCGTGAAATATTCATTTAAAAATGTTAACACGAACAAAGGAAGCTAGATTTGTCAGTCAGACGTGGCACGAGCAAGGAAGTCCAGTTGCCAGTCTGCCGAGGCACGAAGGTGGGCGCTTACCCTATGTTATATATTTATATATATATTCATATATATATTTATTTACACACATATATTTATAATGAAAAACTTCCTTGACTCTGGCAAGCTTTAATGTTTTGTCTCCCCCTCAAATTATTCAGCTTTGCCTGTAATTTGCCTGCCAATTATTTTCTAGAGTTCGGATTTGCTTAATTCTGTTTGACATTTGAGCGACAAATGCACTCGAAATGTTCATTTGCAGCTGTTAGTGCATTAATACGCATCAGTTGTAATTTTTAGCCCGAGTCAAGTGAATGCATTCTCCCACACAGAGCTGCCGAGAGCGTGGGGTTAAATGAATTCATTTTAGTCTGCTAATTAACATGAAATTCGATTATAGTGCAAGAATTTTGCATTGAGTCGTCCTCCAGCTACATCTCTTGCCACTAAAACAATCACAGACTGCAATTTGAGTAGCTGCTTGGCATTAGTTCGAATTGATTTACCTCTGTGGAATTTGCAATTCCTTTGTCATCAACAGAATGCTGCAATACCCTTTATATATATGTATATGTAGTTCCACTGCAAGCGGATGTTCTCATTTGCATGCCCGAGAAGCCGCATCGAAACTGAGATTATAATAAGTAGCTATAGGCTACTTAGAGAGTGAGAGCGGGCAAGGGGAAGGGTGAGAGATAAAGCGAGGAAGGGGGTAAGCATATTGATGTATAAAGGCAGACACAGAGGGAGAGAGAGTTAGAGAGCGTGGGAGGGAGACTGTCTATTCGTTCGTTCGTGTAATCTGAGCCTGCTATTTGTCTTGAAAGTATTTGGACTTTACCTAAGCTGGAGTCTTATATACTTTAAAGTATATACAAACCAGTATCCACAAAATCCAATGCATTCGTTGCATATTTATACTCTGTATACCCTTTATATCGCATAAATTTAATATATAATTTAAATTCTGTATATTCTAAAACTCCTATATATCCGGTGTATCCTATATATTCTATATCTGCTATTCATTCTATATATTCCATACATTCCATATATCATATGTATCCTATACAAACTAGAATTCATATATATCTCATATATATTATATATCCTATATATTCTATATGTCCTATATATTCTATATATCCTATATATCCTATATATCCTATATATTTTATATATCCTATATATCCTATATATCATATATATGCTATATATCATATATATCATATATATCCTATATATCCTATATATCCTATATATCATATATATCCTATATATGCTATATATCATATATATCATATATATCCTATATATCCTATATATCCTATATATCCTATATATCATATATATCCTATATATCCTATATATTCTATATATCCTATATATGCTATATATCATATATATCATATATATCCTATATATCCTATATATCTTACATATCCCATATATCCTATATATTCTATATATCCCATATGTATCCTAAATGAACTATATGTCCTATGTAGCCTATATATCTTATACATCCTATACGTCCTATACATCACATACATACTATATATCCTATATATTTTACATATCCCATATATACTCTATATATATTATATATCCTATAAATCATACATATTCTATCTACCTGCTCTTCTACTCTATAAGATCTTCTCGAAATCACACAATTGTCAAAATCAAAAGTATTTCTATATTCCGCTGATAACTTCTGATATACTAACTATATATGATATATAACTACTATATAATCTGGCAGCTATATGCACAGGCAGCAGCTTTTGCTTAGCCACGTTTCAGTTGGATTTTGATTTCGATTATTTTACAGGGTATTTGCTAGTGTGTCATGCTACTAAGGCATGTTTATACAGTAGACTTTTAATGCTTTATTGGGTTAGCTGTGTCGAAGTGTGTGGCTCCCTGAGCGGGTGTGCGTGTGTGTGTGTGTGTGCTGCAGGATAACAGCAAAACTAAAAGTAGAAAGCGCAAACAATAAACAAACAAACAAGCTGCAAAAATGTCACACATTCATCATACGTTGTAATATGTTACGAGCGGACAAGAGCAACCTCAGCCCCAGCTTAAGCCCCTGCCACAAGGCACGCACACGCACACTCGCACACACACACACACGCACACACATAATTGTACAGAAAAGAAGTTTTTCACTGCCTCTCGCTCCGTTCAGAGCCAACCACAAACAAGAAGAAACAGATACGAGCTCAAGTTGTGTGTGTGGCAGCCATGTGAAGTTGCTACACTAGGTGAGCATGATAGGTTGTGTGTGTGTGTGTGTGCGTGTGTGTGGATGTGGGTGTGCCAGGGACTCAGTTGGAAAACTATGCAAAAAGGCACAAAAAGGTCAGTAAATTAATGTGCAAAAACGGACGCGATATAAACTTTGCATATACACAATGTGTGTGTGTGTGTGTGTGTGTGTGTGTGTGTGTGCGTGTGTGTGTGTGTGTGCGTGTGTGCGTGTCCTGTGTGGGCATTGCACGTTTGTGGCGTAAGCTAGCTGCAAGCAAAAGGCGTCTGTGCTTTGTTAACAGTCAAAGCTGAAACATAACAGACAGCCAATACACACACACACAACAGACCCTACACACACACACACACACACACACATATTTATGTATGGCATACGCCACTAGTAGATTAATAAACGAGTTTTCATTTAACCAAGCCACAACAACAGCCTCAAACTGCGTCTGACTCTTGTCAAAGGCTTCTCAGCAGCTTTTCCCACATTTAATTTTCAATTTTCCATTTTTGCTCTTCCACAACACACACGCATACATACGGAGGCACACACGTAGAATATGGCAGCATATGCCGTGCCCCCCTCATAAATTTCCTACAGCCGAAAAACATCTACCCTGTGCCCAGCCACCCCCTCCCACCCGCCGTTCAGCCTATTGAATTAGATGAAAAATTTCAACTAATAAATCAATATTTAAATAATTCATACAATTTGTGGGCGCCTCCGTGTGGGGGACTTTGGCAAATTTCGGGTGTTGAATGATGATCGATTGGCTGTGTGTGTTTCTCTCTTCACTACATCTTTTAGGGGTTGTGAATGTTATCACGATAATAAGTCGAGCCGACGCTTCTCCCCACCTTCCCCTCCTGCAGTTGGCGCCCACATGTGATTATGCCGTGCGGCAAGTCGGATAATTGCCAAGATGAATTCAGTGTAGGTCAGCAAAGAGCGCTATTAAAACTCATTCCTCAGCTCGCTATACGTTATTAGATTTGATTAGACTGTTATCATTATACTTACCATCATCATCATCATATCATTATCATCGTTCTTATTAATTGTATTATCTTCATAAACATAATCACTGCGGCGGTTTGGCCCCGCAGAGCTTCACTGCTCAGCCACAATTTTCACATTTTAAAGATCTTTTGCTGAGCAATAAAAGGGTTCCATTAGAAGAGAATATGTTGACAGAGTGGATACCAACTGGACGACCCACCTCTCTGCGTTGTATGCCTGAAAAAATGCTATCAACAAAGGCACAGGCGTACCGCCCACTCTGTGTGTGCCAAACTCGAAAAAGCTAACAAAGCCCAGACTGCATGGTTGCTGCAGAACCTAAGCACAGACTGAACGTGCCTAGAAGCGGAATATCCACAATGGAAACGAGGGCCACGCCCAGGGGGAGTTCATACTCGCATCGGTGCTTCTGCCAGCAACGCTTCAAGAAATAAACGCCTTTGGTAAAGTGAAGTGGACCGACATATTGGGTTTTGCAACAGCAGCGCAGAGAGGCGTGGCTAGGAGGTATATTGCAGAATATTTTTGTATGCAGACAGAAACGACGTTATAGGGAAACTGTAAAAGCTGTCCACAAGGGTCGAGCTCAGGAGTATCAATTTAAGACTGGACTTCTCCATGAAGCCTGAAGGCCTGGAAACTAAGGCCTAATTGAATAGGCAGTTAGAATCGCATTCAGTCTCAATGCAGATTAATCCAAGTCTTGATCGAGTTCTGGAACTTGACACACAAAGGACGGAACTTGCCACCCGAGACGGCGATACGACTAAGCGGATGGCACTCAAAGGAAGCTAAGCAATCTAGGCATTAGACTAGGCATTTAAGTCAACATCAGTCCCACTGGGTAGGCTGTTGGCAAATGTAAACAGAGTGTCCGATTATTATCATTGTTATTAAGTCCTTTATTATGATTGCTTTTATATAATTTTTATTATTATTTGCTAGCATTGAAAATGTTATTCAGTGCTCATCTTTGCAGTTACAAATTGAGTGCCCTTTGAAGGGCTCGTCCTTGCCCCTTCTTCGACTTTTTAAAACAGTTTCATTAGCTAAGTGTCCTCTGCTAAGCTGTCTTCCTGGACCGACCAGTTGCCAGTGTTACTGGCCCACGCTCTGTGTTGTCAAAGTCGATTCGGTATCAGATTTGAATTTGGTTTTCGATCTAGTTGCCTTTGCCAGCGAGCTTCTCTCTGGGAGCCTCCAGGCGCTTCGCAGTTATTTCAGTTCATTCCCAGAGCTCCTCTGGAAAACAACTAAGTTTTCGGCTCCAAATTATGAAGTGAAGAAATTTTGTTTTCGATTAAATTGTCTACTTTTTCGTAATCTTTCGAATGAGCAAAATTTGTGTATTTTGGCAAAATAAAAGCAAAATTGAAAAGCGTGAAATATGTTGTAAATTGTAACTCAAAGAAATTGAGTTTGCTTGATTGATATTTGTGTTTAATTGTGCAAAAAGGGACGAAAAAAAAATTTTACCACTGGACGTACAAAAGTTCTGCAATTGTGTTAACAAGTCTAACTAGTTGTATATTTAAGCTATATAATCTAGCGACAACACATACCAATAGCTGTGCGGAGCGTATCCCAATGAACGATTTAGCCTCGCCTTACAGAGGAACAGATTATTGAATACTCAGATTCGCCAATAACTATCCACTTAACCTGCCCATGTTAATAGAACACAAGTAAGTAGAGTCGATGGGTATGGGCGGGGTGGGGACTATGCTGCAGGTGGTATGGATCGGTAATAGCATATGAGGGGTCTCGAGAGTGGGAATGGTGGGATTAGTGGGAATGGAAGGAGAGTGAGGTGAGTGGGAGTGGAAAGAGAGTGAGGTGAGTGGGGGAATGGTTAGAGTGAGGTGAGTGGTGGAATGGAAAGAGAGTGAGGTGAGTGGTGGAATGGAAAGAGAGTGAGGTGAGTGGGGGAATGGAAAGAGAGTGAGGTGAGTGGTGGAATGGAAAGAGTGTGAGGTGAGTGGTGGAATGGTTAGAGTGAGGTGAGTGGGGGAATGGTTAGAGTGAGGTGAGTGGGGGAATGGTTAGAGTGAGGTGAGTGGGGGAATGGTTAGAGTGAGGTGAGTGGGGGAATGGTTAGAGTGAGGTGAGTGGTGGAATGGAAAGAGAGTGAGGTGAGAGGGAATAGAAAGAGTGGGGATGGAAAAAGAGAAGGAATGGGAATGGAAAGTGAGGTGTGTTGGGAATGGAAAGAGAGGTGAATATGAAATAGGGAGAGCTTAAATGTGAATAGCAATGCAGATAACGAGGTTAAGTGTTATGAGGTGACTGAAGTAATAATAACAATCCTCCGCAACAGCAATAAATAACACTTGTGTGTTCTGGTTGCCTGTTTGAATCATAAAACAGATCCACCAGCAAATGCTAATGCCTATAATTGGGTAGTTAGTAGGACACAAATACTTTATGCGGGAGACAGGACTACTTACCGCAATTGATACTTGGTGAGTGAATAAACTGATTTCAAGTCGAGCAATAGAACTAACTAGCTTATGTTTGGATAGATGGAGACTGTATGCTAATAAAAGTTTCATTTTACCATATATTAGTTTAAAAATAATAGTAAGTACCTTGTCCCAAACGAAATGTATTCACATCTAATATCTATATACCTTAGCACGACGGTACCACGGTCTCGACTGAGGCCGCGCAGCTTGCGTCGATTATGAACGTGCTGTATATCTATATATACACAACATAAAAAATAATACCTGACTTATACAATATACAAAACGTGGTATGGATATATGCTGATGATATATATATAGATATAGACATTTATATATATGTGAATCATATTGAGTGGATCTGTTTTACACTGAAGCAAAGGAGAAGGAAGCTACTATCCATACAATTACTTGTACGCCCATTACACTGAACATTGTAAGCCAACATCACATTCTGGTAAGTATGTTCTCTATATAAATGCGTCTAATTTGCATTGTCACGAGATTCTCGCACAGGTCTGAGCGGTACCACGACACTCAACACCTCACTCACCTTGGCAGAAGTCGCAATTTGTTTGACTTCTCGTTTCTTGTGAAAAGATGCACACGGTTCGCGCAGCTTGCGCTCAGAATGGAATTGGGAACATTGATGTTACTAAGTGCTACAAAAATAAATGCCGATAGAAAATAATAAATGTTATTTAATTCGCAATCTCATTAACATCACGGGTCGAACGTGTAATGTCTGGATGCTGTCATATCGAATCAAGCCAATTGAACTTTCAATTTAATTAGCTTAATAGAGTTTAAGGTTTAATCGCAATTTCGATGCTCGCTAATAAAGGCTTACACAAGGGCAACTGGTAAAGCTATACAAAGAGGAGTTGAAAGAGGAGTTGAAAGAGGAGTTGAAAGAGGAGTTGAAAGAGGAGTTGAAAGAGGAGTTGAAAGAGGAGTTGAAGAGGAGTTGAAAGAGGAGTTGAAAGAGGAGTTGAAGAGGAGTTGAAAGAGGAGTTGAAAGAGGAGTTGAAAGAGGAGTTGAAAGAGGAGTTGAAAGAGGAGTTGAAAGAGGAGTTGAAAGAGGAGTTGAAAGAGGAGTTGAAAGAGGAGTTTGAAAGAGGAGTTGAAAGAGGAGTTGAAAGAGGAGTTGAAAGAGGAGTTGAAAGAGGAGTTGAAAGAGGAGTTGAAAGAGGAGTTGAAAGAGGAGTTGAAAGAGGAGTTGAAAGAGGAGTTGAAAGAGGAGTTGAAAGAGGAGTTGAAAGAGGAGTTGAAAGAGGAGTTGAAAGAGGAGTTGAAAGAGGAGTTGAAAGAGGAGTTGAAAGAGGAGTTGAAAGAGGAGTTGAAAGAGGAGTTGAAAGAGGAGTTGAAAGAGGAGTGAAAGAGGAGTTGAAAGAGGAGTTGAAAGAGGAGTTGAAAGAGGAGTTGAAAGAGGAGTTGAAAGAGGAGTTGAAAGAGGAGTTGAAAGAGGAGTTGAAAGAGGAGTTGAAAGAGGAGTTGAAAGAGGAGTTGAAAGAGGAGTTGAAGAGAGTTGAAAGAGGAGTTGAAAGAGGAGTTGAAAGAGGAGTTGAAAGAGGAGTTGAAAGAGGAGTTGAAAGAGGAGTTGAAAGAGGAGTTGAAAGAGGAGTTGAAAGAGGAGTTGAAAGAGGAGTTGAAAGAGGCGTTGAAAGAGGAGTTGAAGAGAGTTGAAGAGGAGTTGAAAGAGGAGTTGAAAGAGGAGTTGAAAGAGGAGTTGAAAGAGGAGTTGAAAGAGGAGTTGAAAGAGGAGTTGAAAGAGGAGTTGAAAGAGGAGTTGAAAGAGGAGTTGAAAGAGGAGTTGAAAGAGGAGTTGAAAGAGGAGTTGAAAGAGGAGTTGAAAGAGGAGTTGAAAGAGGAGTTGAAAGAGGAGTTGAAAGAGGAATTGAAAGAGGAATTGAAAGAGGAATTGAAAGAGGAATTGAAAGAGGAATTGAAAGAGGAATTGAAAGAGGAATTGAAAGAGGAATTGAAAGAGGAATTGATTATTCCAAAAGAGTTTTCTAAATGAGAATTATAGCAACTTAGTTTATGGCACGCGTGCTCAAAAAGCTTTTCACCACACGAAAGCTTTAGCAGCTTAGCTTAGTAAAAGACCAGCGAGCCAGGGCTAAGTCGACAGCTTGCAGCGAGCTTAAAGCTTGGAATCGAAAGCAGAGCAAGAATTTTAGTTCTTTCACTTGAGCAGCAAAAGCTTGCGATACATAAAAGCTTCAGGCAAGCTTTCAAATTTGATATGCAGCTGTGTTGGACGGCTGTAAGTTGCATGCCATCAGGTTATCTAAGGCAAGACAAGGGCTTCGGCTACTCCATGACAGCAGTGGGCATTGGAGACTGCGACTAGACTAAGAGCTTTACCCAAGAGTTCAGATTTGAACTTCAGCTGGGTTGATACGCACGGGCATTATCTTTGGCCAACCAGTGGCGCATAGTGGCCCCGTTGGTCGGCAATCTGGGCCCAGTTATTCAGAGAATGTGGAGTAGAGAATCGAATTGATGCTAGCGCATATCGACACGTCGTAATGCAGATAAGTTCGGGCCTAACGCCATGGAGCACAGTATAAAGCTGAATGTCCACAGCTGACTGAGCAGTAAGAACTGAAATGATGCAACGGTTCCGGTGCAACTTGTGGAGCGCAGTGGGTGGACTGCTGCTAGGAACTCAGCTACTGAATCTGCTGGCTGTGGCAGCCACAACTGTTGCAGCGGGAGGAGCACGATTGCCAGCTCAGCTCGACTGGCGCTACAACGATGCACAGTACGGAAATGCCGAGTATGACAAGATGTTGGGCCAGGGCAATGGACGGCAGCCGGGCCAGGAGCAACTGGGTAACTTTCAGTTTCAGTATGTGGACTATCAGCCCAAGTGTGGCTCGGGCGGACAGCCGGTGTGCGCGACCAATGGCAGCAGCTACTTCTACTTCGAGAACGATTGCAAGCTGGAGGCGGCCAACATGAAGCTGCTCTTTCAATACGGCACAGGTAAGTGATTGAAATAGGCTAAGAGTCGCCATTTGAATCGATGTCTCCACGCAGAGCTGGAACCCACCGAACTGGAGCGCTGTTTGCCACAATGCGACAACATGCGCTGCACCACAGTTTATGCGCCCGTCTGTGCGGCTGCGGAGACAGCGGCCAACAAGGATCAAGCTGTGACCTTTGCGAATGAATGCGAGGCCCATCGACGCGGCTGCCTGACCAAGCAAGGTGAATGATACGAACATAGAAGACCAGAGAAAGATATTTTCAATTCACGTTTCAGTCATGCACATTCTGAACAAGGGACCCTGTCGCCAGGCCAAAAGCAAGTCGAAGTCCCTGAGCAAGAGCAGGCGCAAGCACGGCAAGCGTCGGCATAAGGCCAGCTCCACTGCAGCAACGGCGCCGGGGCGGGGCAAGCAGATCTACTTTATGTTGGCAAACGAGCCACGCAGCACTTCCACAACAAGCAGCACCACCAGCACCACCACAACCACAACGCCAGTGCCCATGCAGTTCCACCAATTCAGAGGCCTCGGCAATGCCGATGTTTCAGTCTCGCGTGCCGTCGATGCCTACAGCGTCTATAATATACCCGATGTGGGCCATAATTATGGCGCCATTACCGACTCGAGTCTGTCGCTCTATGTGCCTGGTGTGGGCACTGTTACCGATACACCACCAAGCACCACCACCACCACCACCACCACCACTACAACAACCACAGCCAAACCAACCACTACAAGCACTGAGCGAGCGGTTATCAAATTCGTATATATGCCTTATGGCACCACCTCCAGCACCACCAGCACCACCAGCACCACAACGCCGAGCACCACCAGCACAGCTGCTAATTTAGCGGATACCATTGCTGGTACCACCATAACTACAGACACCACTGAGTCCATCTTGGCAGTGGCTCACAATGCAACCGCATTCAAGGCTAGCGACAACACCACCAGTCCAAAACCTGAAATTGTTAAGCCACATCCAAAGCCGGATGTTATCAAAAAGTGATGCCAGGCCACAGAGTGTTAATAAACGAATATGGAATCGAGAATTGCCTCAAGACTATTCAAATTCAGAATGGGATTTTCAAGATTGAAATTGTTTTGCTTAAGTCAGGCTGAGCTGTTTCGAGGTATAGCTAAAGATCCTAGCATAGCTAAGGAAACAAATAATCAGTGCATTTGGGCAATGGGAAATTGTAGTAAAGGGTATAATGGTTTGTTAATGTAAATATATAGGTAACCTGCCTGGAAGGAAGGGAGGGAGGAGGGAAGGGAGGAGGGAAGGAAGAAAGGAAGGAAGGAAGAAAGGAAGGAAGAAAGGAAGGAAGACTCCATGAATATACTTCCTTGAATAGGTCTCTTGTTAAGAAGAAACAGATGAATATTTTATATATTGAATACCTCAACCTTCTCACCAAATTCACGAGAATCGTATTAGAAGTTATACAAAAATATTGGTAATTGGCTAGTGGAAGGAAGGAAGGTAGGAGGGAAGGGAGAAAGGAAGGAAGAAAGGAAGGAATAAAGCAAGGAAGACTCCAAGAATATACTTCCTTGAATAGGTAGAGACCTAAGAAGAAACAGATGAATATTTGATATATTGAATAGCTCAACCCTCTGACCAAATTCACGAGAGTCATATTAGATTAATTTCCCTTGCTAAAGCGGCCCAAGCACAAGATTCAGGGTATTTCTTAGCCATGCACTCTCGACCAAACTACTCTTACTTGCCTGATCACTTCACATGCAAATGATTAAAGGCCTAGGAATATTTGTATCTATCAGCTATCTTATCTAGTGCTAGAGTTATTAATCCTATTTGGTTGGGTTGCTAAGGTTGGGCATACCTCAAACTTATTAGAGCTAGCTAAAGAGTTGAGGCTACGCCATGCTTGGTCACCCGAGCTATAGACTATAATTAAAACGCCTTAAGTATTGCATTTGCATAGTTATATAAAATGATATTTTAGTAAAATCGTACAGTAGTTGTCTTAATATCTAAAATGGTAAAGTTTAGTCTTATGAATGGGTCTAGTAAAATACTTTGGCATCGCATAGAATCTCATTGTTTATCGTCAATTCAGTACTCCAACTTTGTTGCTGAGCTCTTGGAGAGGAACAAGAATATATATGTCGGACTTGGATTTGTGTTCGTGTTATTGATCTTGACCGTTTGGACGTCATCCTTCTCGGACACCTGCACAATCAACTGGTTGCCAGTGGCATCAATTGCCGTAGCTCCGTCAACATTTTGTATTTGCTGCCTTGCCACAGCGATGACTGGAGCTAGGTCGGCTGAAGCTGTTGTTGCCTCTGAAGTAGAATCGTTGACATTTTCCGTTGTAGAGCTAGCAGTTTGGCTGACAGGCGGCTCAGTAGTTGTTTCCTTAGTATATGATGGCTTATTGTCGGCAGACCCGTAGGTCTGACCAGCTGTCGTTGACTTCGAGGCCGAGCGGAGGGAGTCTTCCGTTGTGGAATCTGTTTCTGTCTGGACATTCGAGCTAGCTAAGTTATCAACTGGTTCCTGGTTCACAGCTGCAGCTTTGTCTAGACTTTGGACTTGTGGTTTTGATGCGGTATTCGATGTCGAGCTCTCAGCAGATTCTGTAGTTGTCTGCTGCGAGTATTGCTCAGATGTTTTTTGGTCTGAAGCCCCATAAATCTGATCAACAGCTGCTGCTCTATTCAGACTTGAAAGTGCTGGTGTTGAATCCGAGATGGAGTTTTCTGTTGTGGAATCTGATGCGGATTCAGAATTTGATGCTGAGTTAGACTTAGATTCAGATATGGAATCAGATTGAGATTCAGATGGAGAAGCAGAAGTGGACTCAGATGTGGAATCAGATGTGGAATCAGATGTGGATTCAGATGTGGATTCAGATGTGGATTCAGATGTGGATTCAGATGTGGATTCAGATGTGGATTCAGATGTGGATTCAGATGTGGATTCAGATGTGGATTCAGATGTGGATTCAGATGTGGATTCTGATGTGGATTCAGATGTGGATTCAGATGTGGATTCAGATGTGGATTCTGATGTGGATTCAGATGTGGATTCAGATGTGGATTCAGATGTGGATTCAGATGTGGATTCTGATGTGGATTCAGATGTGGATTCTGATGTGGATTCAGATGTGGATTCAGATGTGGATTCAGATGTGGATTCTGATGTGGATTCTGATGTGGATTCAGATGTGGGTTCAGATGTGGATTCAGATGTGGATTCAGATGTGGATTCAGATGTGGATTCAGATGTGGATTCAGATGTGGATTCAGATGTGGATTCTGATGTGAATTCAGATGTGGATTCAGATGTGGATTCAGATGTGGATTCAGATGTGGATTCTGATGTGGATTCAGATGTGGATTCAGATGTGGATTCAGATGTGGATTCAGATGTGGATTCAGATGTGGATTCAGAAGTGGATTCAGAAGCAGATTCAGATGTGGAATCAGAGGTGGAATCAGAGGTGGATTCAGATATTGAATCCGCTTCAGCTTCAGTTGTGGATTCAGATGTTGACTCTTCCGTTGTGGAATCAGTATTTATAGCTGCTTTATTTACTGGATGCCTTTTAACGGCTGGTTTACTTAAGCTTTTGACTCTGTGAAGTGGTTCATTTGAATCGGTAGATTCTGTTGAGGTTGTGGGACTATAACTTTCTTCTTTGGGCTCTGGGGCTTTATCAGCGGCTGCTTCTGTTATGGAATTGTAATCAGAAGCAGCGAGTGTAGTCTCCTGTGAGGAATTTAATGAATCTATTGGTGTATCATCTGGGACAGAATCTGCATTGAAATCTTTCCTTAGGCTTTCTACTAAAACCTGTGCAGCTTCAGTCGTTGTAGTTGACTCGAGTGTGGAAGTTTCTTTTGTTTTGCCCGTGGATGCTTCAGTAGACGAGGCGATCGGCGTTGTCTCAAATGCTTCGCTTGACTCCGTGGGCAAAGCATCTCTCGAGATTGACATATGATACGGCTGCAGCTGAGACGCAACGCGTTGCGAATGATAAGGACTTTTATAAGCCATTGGCAAGGGAGGTCCATAGACTGGCTGCTGATAGCTATAGGGTCCATAAGCGGGATATCCGTAGGCAGGTGCCCCATATGCCTGTTGAGGTGCATAAACCGGATATGATGGATTCGACATCATTAGGCCTGATTGCGGCGAGTAGACCGCTTCTTCACCTATGCAAGGTCCGTCGTGTAGGTATTTCCAGGCTTGAGACAAGAGATGGCGAAGAGAGCTAACGATACGGCAAAGGAATTGATTGAAATTGATACTCACGTTCGTTCGTGTGGCATAAGAATTGCAGCATTTCGCATTGGTTTTCAAACGATTTCTGCGTATTCCCAAGAGCGGCGCAGATCGGACTGCACGTAAGGGGACACTTGACGGGGCACTCGCAGGGACCCTCGAAGAGTATGCGCCAATCTGAAAAGGTAACAGATGCTATAGTCGCCCAGCTGTAGGTACTTCCTTGTGGCACACACAATTTCCCGTTAGGCAGCTGTAGCGCTGGGCCTCGCAGGCATTATCGAAGGTCGCCCGCTGATGTGTGCCCTCGATCTTAGCGCAGACCTCCTCCTTGACATCCGAGCACTGCAGATGGTCGCACTGTGAGCCGTAATAATCGGGCCCGCCATAGCCCCAGCTCCGGGCGCCCGTAAACAGCGTCAAGCCAAGCAAATAGAAAGCGTGCATTTCGTGGACAATCCTAAGTCCGACTATAGCTTAGCCTCGAACAGGCTGCACTTTTTATATGACGACGACAACCTGCCGTGGGCTTGTGGCATATGCCCTCATATCATAGCAATGTCTACGTGTCCGCAGCTCTGTTTCTGTAATTAATTATATCAACGCTTCTAGCTTAAAGCCAGACGTTAAGTTTTTTAAGTTTACTGTGTTATTTTTTTATTACAAATTTATTTTTGTTTTGTTTTTTTTTGTTTTTTATTTATTTTAGCTTATGAAATAAAACGAGCTGTACTCATATCAGTGCTATTCGTGTTAAACGTAAACTTTGCGCCATGGGAAATTTTGTGAATTAATTTTTTGTTTTGTCCAAAGAACATTTCGCAAATTACGAATATGATTATGATTAATTAGTCAGGCACGCAGCGCATGACGATATCAAAGACAATTCGACAAGGTCAGCAGATAGCCAAAAGGTATGCGCACTCATTACTATTATTCACGATGATCCAATACCAATTTAATTTTATAAATAAATAAGTTAAGTAATACATAAATGAATATAAATTTATGAATAATAAGTCAATAAATATAAATAAATAAATACTCGATACCTGAGCAAGTTTTTATGGAAAGAAAGTCTGATCAGTTAGTGTGGAGCACAGCAGCATTGCGGTAGGTCCATGGATCGATACTCGATCGCATAAGATGCCTGCTGAAAATACGTGTAATGCTGATGCCGTACAATCGTATATGACTTATAAGACCTGTAATACCCCAAGTTGAAAAGCAAACAAGTTTTTGCTTGATGACGACACACTTTTCGCATCGAACGACACAGAAATTTGCTAGCTATACGAAATTTAGTCTGGTACGATTGAGGTAGAGCTATAGGCAAATTTAATATATTGCTTCTGGTATCAAGTGGCAAAGAATTTGCTTAGTTATCGAAAACAAATTCCACAGATATGCAAGGCAGACTTTTAACTTGTGCCAGCATAGTTGAGGCAGGTCATCAGGTATATCTCGCGTTGCAAGTGTCAGAAATGTATTTGTTTAATTATTGTTGATTTATTTATAGATGTGCAGGGCATACAAGTGGAAAGTCTTATTGATATAATGCAGTACAGTACCATTGAGGTGGGTGTATATAATGTGTATTAATTGTAATGTGGAATAGCTGCTGAAGCGGAGGCGCTGGCATAGGCCCTGACCGGAGCATAGCGAGGTCCAGAGACGGCTGGGTAATGAGGGCCATTACCGGATTCATAGCCGGGTGCATAGGCAGATCCATAAGCGAAGCTGTATAAGTAGCCAACGGGCTTATAGTTAACAGGTTCGTAGGGTTTGGGTGTTGGTTTTCTGGTGGTGCTGCTGCCGTAGCTCGTTCCATTTTGTGTCGAGTTGTTGTAGAGGCATCCAGTGAACTTCAGCGGCTCAGATATGCCCCTATATCTGAGCTCCAAATGCGTCTCCTCGGCGCACGTCTTGCTGCCCGTTGTTGGATCGACTATCTGCGAGGCCATTGAGAGTCTAAAGACCCGGCCATTGGGCATTGTGAAGACCAGAGAAACCAGAGTGTTCTATTCGAAAGAAAGCAGATTGTCGAGTATTGAATTGTATACCTAACACACGTGGTATTACGTGTAGAAATTGCCGTAATATTACACTTGGTATACTTACGGCATCTGTGTCGATGCTGGCGGTCGTGGGTGCTGCTGTGGAGCTTGCTGTAGCTGCTGTAGGGGAAGCTGTTGTAGCAGCAATTGGCATTATAGAGTTCGTAGTCGCTTCAGGCGTTGACTGTGTGGTTGCTAATGTGGTGTTTACTGTGGATGACATTGTGGATTGTGAGCTCGCAGCTGCTGTTGTTGTTGATGTTGTAGACCTGGTTGCTTCTGTTGACTGCGTTGTGCTTGAAATTTCTGGCAAATTCGTTGTGGGTGGTATTGTGGATTGTGTGCTATCAGATTCTGGGCTTGTAGTTGGATCTGTGGAATCTGTTGTTGTTGATGGTGCTGTTGTTGTGGATGTTGGAGTTGTTAATGGTGATGTAGTGAATGCCATTGTAATGAATGCTGCTGTTTCGGATGCTTTTGCAGTGGATGGTGCTGAAGTGGATATTGTTGTAGTGGATGACGTTGGAGTGAAAGCTGCTGCTGTGGACACTGTTGCAGTGGATGCTGCTAAAGTGGATGCCGCTGCTGTGGATGTTGAAAAGTCGGTAGCTGTTGTTGGATAAGCTGTAGCTGTGTATCCTAAAACATGTTTCCTTCGTGAAGCCGATGGCTTGACTAACTGTTTGCGCATATTCCTATAATAAAAGCCATTGATCGGCGAATATGTGTCCTGTGCCTTGTAGTAGAGATTGGGACTTGATGATCTCGAATAGCTTCGTTCTGGGTTTTCAAGTTCACTTGAATAGGCGTCATAGACATTCGCATAGGAGCTAGGCAGCGATCGTGTGGGTGTGTTGTAGTCGAGCCACTTCGGCTGCGGCAGGCAATGGTGCATCTCAGTTTGCACAAATGCTAAGGAATATTTGGGATTAAGGATCAGAGAGCCTTTGCCTCATCAGCAGCAGCAGTAAACTTACCCTGTTGGCCAGCGAAGAGCAAACGCACATTGAAGGCATTCAGGCAGCAAATGTTGTGGAACGAACGATAGCAGTAGCCATTGGTGGCGCACACAGGTCGACCGCAAGCAGCATAATCGCCATAGCCACTCAGTGCTTGCTGTTCATGGTGAGCCTGATCCACATAGCGCTGGGCCTTGACCAAGCTAAACAAACTGAATGCCAATGCAATAGAACCGAGCTGTGACCACATGTTTGAAGGTCTATTATTCAATAATATACTTTGTTCGCCCTGCACTCGCTTTTTTATACCTAAGAAATGCGAGACGCATAGCTGCTGCTGCCTCCAAATCAATCTCTGCCTCTATGTTAGCTGCAGCGGCAGCAGACGTCGGCCGACGGCAGCGTCTTATCATCTCGCTGCTTACGTGCCTGACCTGCACTCAAAACACCAAAGGCTGGCGCCACTGTCGACACTCTTTGTACCTTATACCCTCCAGCAGTGCCTAAGTAAATTAATAAAGTAATCAATGCCAACAAATTAACTTTAATTGAGTTGCAATGCGATGCATTTCTGCAAACGCAATTCAATTTGAAGAACTGCTTTGCACTGCTTGAGACGCTTTGCCCTGCTTACGGCATGGCAGCTCAGCGAGCAGTGCAGCAAGCAGTGCACAGCCTCTGATATCTGTTGAAGTCCACAACGAGCGGTGATTCAAGTGTATCTTAACTTATGTAAATGGTATAACAGTTTTAAAATTCTAAATGACTTACAGATACCCTGTAATTGGGTAATATGAGTATTATCTTTTAAACAGATTTGTCACATATGCTATAAACTAAGCCTTAAACTCAATCCTCAATGTTTCTTTAAAGCCTTGGAGAGACCTTGGTCGATATTGAATTTTTTATTTGCATAAATATGAAATCATCTCTTTGATACACTCTTTACATGCTTTCTACTGCCTGCGCAATTACATTGAAATAGTTATTTGAAACTTTATTGCGCTTAATTAACAACTATAAACAACAATTAAGTGTTTCAAAGCACAATTTGGCGGGTCAAAAGTGCAAACAAAGATCATGTTACCAAGCGCTGGGCCCGCGCACAGTGGTCAATGATTCATGTGCAGTTGTTGAATATATATGTATACTTATATACTAACAAATTCATAGCATTCGAATGTTTTGAATTTGACAGTTATGTACTTAAACTTATTTGAGAGATCAAAAGTTAGGTTAAGAATCAAATGAGGCAATAAAATCTTTCAATGTTTCAACTCAAGATTTTATACATTACGGAAGCACAGATGGTCACGACTAGAGCGACCAATCCAGACTATATATACTATATGGGCTGTGCCACGCCTCCTACCCATTATATAGGTAGTCACAATACCCTTATACCCTGAGCTATAATGGTTAGGCATTGCATTACATTGGCAAAATTATTCGGTTCGAATAAAGAAGTAAATAAAATGGATTTTATATTTAACTAATAATCTTAAAAGATCTTGAAACATTGGAATAAAAAAATAATAGAATTAATAATTTATTAAATTATTATTTTTTAATTTAATATTTGAACAGAAATGAATCAAAACATAGCTCAAATCAAATCAAATTCAAATCAACATAGCAAATCAATAGACTTGAGTTTTCAGTCAGCTGCACCACTGTGCATCAATTCGAACAGCCCTCGTATAACAGTTGGCACTGCTTGCTGGCCAACTTGTAGGATACGCTGATAGGACTTCATGGCAGAACACTTAGCTTCGCGCCGGCATCATTTACCAACGCGAAGCCGTTGCGAACGGTCGTCGCAGCTGCAAAACTTTTCAAATCATTTTTTATATTCAAGTCTTTTTTTTTCCTTTTTTTTGGCGCGAACTGAAGTGTAAGAGAATTGAGTGACTCATTGTATATATTAATATATTTACTATATACTATATATATATATATATATATATATATTTAATGATATAGCGCAGTCGGCGAACGTAAACAAAAATCCGTCTCTGGCACAGATGGCCCTGCTGCGTGCAGGTAAGTGTTGGCTGTGGATCAGTGTATTTAGTTAGTACGGAAGTGTGTGCCGCTATAAATAGTTCGCACACTCAAATCCTATTAAATATCGGATGGCATTGATTGCCGAAAAAGAAAATATATTTCCTCTGGCTACCGATTGCATGGCATGCTCAAGTGCAATATCCTCTTCATATGGGGCAGTAGAGGGCAGGAAATTTGAAATTTCATGTCATTGCATTTATGATTTATTCACGCCAACGTCTTTTATGTGCCGTCCATAAATTTGCGCCTGTTCGCGTGGCGCTCATATCGCCTGGACAAATATAAAATGAAGGAGAAATGAAGAGGAGTGAAATCAAAAAATAATATTTCCTCTCCTGCCATCCTGCCACTGCTGTTTGCGCAGCTCTCGAGAAATAGTCGCTGGCAAATCTATCGAACGTTGCGCATACGTCGCGTGGGCCGCAGGCGAAAGGCAAACATGTTTATTTAGTGCGAGTCTTGCTGCGGCAAGCTGATTCGATTAGCTGCCTAACCACTGCATAAATGCCAACCGAGCACACAATGCGACCAGAGCCCAGCCACCGCTCAACCACTCAACCACTGCGCCACCCACCCATTGGTCGCTCATTACGTCGCCCGTGGCAGAAAAACATCTCGTGGCGGTCACGTGGAGGCAAATTGAATGGCCACCAGCGACGTTTGCTAATTGTATAACTTTCATTTTGTATTTAGTGGCAGCAAGTGGCAGAGAGTGGCAGAGAGTGGCAGAGAGTGGCAGCGAGTGGCAGCGAGTGGCAGCAAGTGGCAGAGCGTGGCTCGCTCCTTAACCACCTGGCATCACCTGTGCACATCCTTGCCACTGCAGGTGAATTCAGTTTGCCTTTGTTCAGCGTCTTTGGCCATTTCTTTTCATTCATTGAGCGCTTTGTGTGACACTTTTTCTTGTTTCTTCTGTTCGTTCCACTGTGGAGTGGGCGGAGTGAACAGAAAGAAACGGAAAAGACGGCAAAATCATTGTCTACGCCTTTTTTCATTGCCCGTGATAAATGCCTTATTTTCCGCGTTGGGTCACGATCTGAATGAACCCCAAACAGCAGCATTCCCCAACACATTTATGCATCTAGTATAGAATGGCTTTCGAAATTTATAGTGAAATAATATAAGAATTACGTCAGGCCATGCAAAGCCACCTTTTTATCTTGAGACTGTCTCAAGTGTACGATTCACAGTTTATTGGCTTTAGGCTAAGATAAATTGTTACTATTATCGTCCTCATTATAATTATCATCATCATTAGCATAAGCATTAGCATTAGCATTATCATTAGCATTAGCATTAGTATTAGCATTGTCATTAGCATTAGCATTGTCATTATCATTCGCATTAGCATTGTCATTAGCATTATCATTATCATTAGCATTATCATTAGCATTGTCATTAGCATTATCATTATCATTAGCATTATTATTAGTATTATCATTAGCATTAGCATTATCATTAGCATTAGCATTAGCATTATCTTTAGCATTAGTATTAGCATTGTCATTAGCATTAGCATTAGCATTGTCATTAGCATTGTCATTAGCATTATCATTAGCATTATCATTAGCATTGTCATTATCATTAGCATTAGCATTAGCATTAGCATTGTCATTAGCATGATCATTAGCATTAGCATTATCATTAGCATTGTCATTAGCATTATCATTAGCATTAGTATTAGCATTAGCATTGTCATTAGCATGATCATTAGCATTAGCATTATCATTAGCATTATCATTAGCATTAGCATTATCATTAGCATTAGCATTATCATTAGCATTGTCATTAGCATTATCATTAGCATTAACATTAGTATTAGCATTGTCATTAGCATTATCATTAGCACAATTATTGCGTTGGTATTAGTAATAGCATTACCATTAACATTGTCATTAGCATTGGCGCTAACATAGTTCTTAGCACTAGCATTATTGTTATTACTACAATTATATTTATATCATTGTTATTATCATTTTCATTATGCATTAGTAAACATAAATTATACAGTATAGCAGCTATATATCGTAGGATATTCCATTGACAGCAGCTTCGAGCAAACTGTTTTCTTAGTTCCCCTTTCTATTTGCTTTTATGAACTTGCCACGCGTCGCAATGGTCGGGGGAGCTGCCTTCGCAATGCTCATTAGAATGCCATGCGTATAATATACCCCCACCCGAGGCGCGCACCCACACGCTGAAATAAACAGCCCGCACAACAGTGCAAACATTTGCATACATGACGAAAAAAAGAAAAAAAAAACAAATGAGAGTTCTATATGAATGTTGGTCAAGCCGGAAAGTGTGGAACGGCTTGAGAAGGATTAAAAGGGCAAGTTGTAAAATAGCATAAGGACTAAGTGCCTCGTATAGAATGCGAGAGGTTCAAAGTTCAACTCGAAGTTCCAAAAGAACAAAACAAAACAGAAATTTGAAGGTCCTCTAAATATAGCTGAAATTAGGTTAAGCTTAAGTGGGGCTAGCTTCAGTCAGCTCAAAAAAGGAGCTATCTCAAAGGTCAAGCTTTTTTGTGCTATGGCAAATGCGCATAAATAGTTAGCTTGTTGCATCATTGAGAGTTTAGGCCGCAGGCCGCAAGGAAATGCGTCAGTAATGAGGCAACAGGCACCGCTGGCCATGCTGCGGACACTCGAAGGAGACAAGAGCTGCAAGAGCTCTTCGGTCCGACCTGTGTCCTATGTCAATTTTGGCTCAAGTGCGGCCGCACCTCAAACCCCACAGCGCAAAATTTGTTCATTTCATGGCTTGTATCTTGGCTGCCTTTTAATAGCATAATTTGGAGGCGTGTGGGCGTGTGGGCGTGTGGAGCGGGAGGGCTTATGAATTTAGCTGCGACTCATCGCATTGCGTTGCCTGCAACTACGACTCACGGCCTTTTTATTGTTGCCGACTTTCGGGCGCGTATTAAATTTTTATACGCGCACAAACAAAAAATGTTACCAGAGATGGACACTGGATTGAATTTCATTTGCCACAAACGCCGTCTACGTCGACGTCGGCTTCACCTCAATTTTCCATTACACACACAAAGAGAGACAGCCCCACATTAAGTATACAAATTTGGTAATTGTGCTCTTCATGTATATTTAATTTGTGTTTTCATTTTGTTCCTTTTCTTTCTTGCGGACTCTCAACTCCCAATTATGTTGCTTGTCCCTCAGCTGCTGTCAACGCTCCTCATTTTCGTTCCTTATTCAATTTAAGTCACATTTCGCTTCACTCTCCCTCTGAATAGACTTGTAGATATTTTAAGTTGCACTCTCTATTCATTTATGCTTATGCTTTTTGCTACATTCGAGCAACGATAACTGCTTTTGTGTGATATCGATAACTATCGATTTCTAGACGAACCTAACTGAATCTTATATGAACTTTGACTAACTAAATATAGTTCAAATATATTTGAATTTGCGAATAATATAGAATTGAGTCTCTTCTTTATTTATCTATTCTTCTCCCTCTCTCTATTTCTCTGTCTCTCTCTTCCTCTCCCTTTCGATCTCCCTCTCTGATTATTTGTCTTACTCTCTCGCTACTCTCTCTACCTCACTCTCTTTCTCTCCCTCTCTCTCACCCTTTCGCTCTCACCTTCTCATTGTCTCTCATTACGTATCGCTCCGTCTGGAAGTCCCTGGTGATTACATAGAAATAAGGAATCAATCGAATGTTAAACTAATTTATAGCCGCCTCATGCTGAAGCTGCAAAGCCGATTACGAATTCATGACTTGCTTCCTGTGCACATTTCAGTCTGCCAACAGAGAAAACACAGAGAAAGACAGAAAAAGAGAGAGAGAGAGAGCGAGAGAATTCTAAGGGGCTCGCCACATATGCAATGCCCCGAAGTGCGGCAGGCAGGTGTCGTAAAGTGTGCTACATTTTGTGGCACTTTAATCGATTCATTTGATTTCCGACCAGCCACACACACTCTGGCACAGTGGAGCGCCGGGGGAGTCTAGAGCGAAGCACTTGCGGCCAAGTTCAAGTAATCAAAGCCAATATAAAATAACAAAAACATTTTGATCCCCATCCGCTTTTATTTGGATTAATTGTAAACAGCAACGGGGGGCGTATGCATAATGTTATAAGCCAATTTCACGGCCATAAATATCAATGCAAAGTGAAAAGAATGAAATCAAAGTCAAAATCAAAATCAAATTCTTTGAGCCCGCCAGCCAACGCGCCTCCATCTCGCGCTGCCCGGGCTCTGATTTATGCTCGGTGCAATTTAAATAACGATTTTTTTTCTCTTTTTTTTGCCCAGCTAAGCAAATTTATTAAAAAATAAGCCAAGCAGCAGCAGCGTCAAGTAGTCGACGCAGGCATACCTCGTACAAACAGATGTTGAGTCAACGGAAGAAATTGTAGTATTGAGGTAGAGAGAGTTGTAGTAGTGGTAGAAGTAGAAATAGTAGTAGAAGTAGTAGTAGAAGTAGTAGTAGTAGAAGAAAAATAGTAGTAGAAGTAGTAGTAGAAGTAGTAGAAGTAGTAGTAGTAAAAGTAATAGAAGTAGAAGTAGAAGTAGAAGTAGAAGTAGAAGTAGTAGAAGTAGAAATAGTAGTAGAAGAAGTACAAATAGTAGTAGAAGTAGTAGAAGTAGTAGTAAAATTAGTAGTAGAAGTAGTAGTAGTAGAAGTAGAAATAGTAGTAGAAGAAGTACAAATAGTAGTAGAAGTAGTAGAAGTAGTAGAAGTAGTAGTAGTAGAAGTAGTAGTAAAAGTAGTAGTAGAAGTAGTAGTAGTAGAAATAGTAGCAGTATAGTAGTATGTAGTAGCAGTATATTGTAGTAGTAAAAGTAGTAGACGTTGTAGTTATAATATAGAGAGTAGTAGTATAAAGTGTAGTATGGTATAAAAAGTGTAGTATAGTATAAAAGTAGTAGTAGTAGTATATTAACAGTAGTAAAAAGAGCAGTAGATCTGAAGTAGTAGTAGATAAAAAGTAGTAGAAAAAAGTA